AAATGTCCAGAGCCTTGAAGCATTTCTGCACCCTTCTGCAAGCTCCGTGAAGGCCCAAACCTGGTGCACCAGGCTTCACCCTGCCTCAGTGCTGCACATGCTCAGAGAAGGGGGCCTGAATGAAGCAGTCACACAGCACAAGCTTAGAGCACCTACTGGGTGCAGGAGTGGGGTGTGGGCTAGTACACGGAGGGCCCGCCCAGGGTCCAGCTCTGGCTTTGCCCACAGTGGGCATGCAGTTGACGCTTGTGGATGAAGGCCAAGCATACCTCTTACCCTCGCAGACAGACAGAAGGGAGACCTCAACTTGAGTGAGAACTGAGGCCAGGCCCAGAAGAGACCGAGGGAGGGTACTGAGCACCCCTGCATGGCCCCTGGCATTCCTGCTCCTTGCCTCTCTCTGCCTGGCTAAGTGTCACACACAGCAGAGCTGAAGAAACACCCAGAAGCCAAAGTTCGGATGGAGAGGAATTATGCCTGCTGCTCAGTTGGCCACGCAGGGGGTCCTGTTCTCCCTCTTCAGATGGAATCGCACCCAGAGCTAGCAACCCTCAAAGTCTTGGGCAGACCAGCGTATGAGGGCTAGGGAGGCAGGGTAAATGGGGTGGAAGAGAGTTACAGAGGTGGAAGAGCGGGAAGGAGAGGGAGGAAAAGGCGGGTAGAGAGCGGCAGAGCGACATGGGGAAAGACAGCAAGAGGGGCCCCAAGCCCCGAGAGACCTGTGTGACATCGACTTCCCTCAGGGAGCCAACCCCTGACCTCATCCCACTAGAGGCAGTGCAGGGGTCATCTGCGTGGGCAACAGGAACCAGAAAACAGGATAGGGCTGAGACTTCTCAGGGCCACAATCTACTCAAGAAGTGGGGGATGCGGACCCCTGAAATGCCATAAGGCACCCAAACATGGGGCTGGCCTCCTCCTTCCTCCCTCAGTCAGCCACCAACAATGTTCCTTATGGGCCAGTCTGGTAATCCATAGGGGCTTTCTCTGCCAACTTTTGCAAGTGGAAAAGTTAGTCTTCCTCCTTTCAAATGACACCCGCCCACCAAGGGTGAACCTGCTAGTATGTGAAATACCAGCTGTCAGGCTACCAGCGTCCTAGCAACACAACAGCCAGCAGAGTGCCACAGACAGACAGACAGACTACCAAGACGGACTCCCAATTATGGCCCATCATGAAGATGGCCCAGGACAGCACGGCGTTTCACCCTGCCAAACACGAAATCACCAGAAGCCGGAGCCAATTAGGCAGCAGCTAACAATTCGAGGTGCCAGACACCGTTGTAGGTGTGGGGGGTTCAGGACTCACTGAGTTTAGAATCTAAAAGAAGAAAAGTCAACTTCCAAGTGAGCTACTGTATGGCTATGTTTGATACATACTCTCTGCCATATAAACAGCTCTGGTGCCGCATCTGCTCACCACTTGGCCGCTAACCAAAAGGCTGGTGGTTTGAACCCACCAGCAGCTCTGAGAGAACAAGCTGGGTGAGTCAAGTTCAAGACCCTCTGGAACAAGTCTGCTCTGTCCTAGGGGGTCGCTGTGCATCTCCATAGTGATAGGTATAAAGACACACTGAAACTGGTGGCAGCTGGACCGTGACCAGACCACCTCCTTTTCCCAACGGTTCATTTTAGTGGAAAATACTTGGGTTTTCCTTCTCTGACAGGTTTCCAACTCCCACAGGTTTGGGCGTTCACAGGTTTCGCTCTCATGGAATGTCCAAGGTGGCAGCTGTTTCTTCTCATTTTGAATCAAACCTAATCAGCAAAGGAAGGTCCTGACAATCTTCTTTCATCCGCCCCATGATCGTCCATTTCACTTTGAGGAGGCGGCTCTTCCCCAGTCGTATCTAGACCGCTTCATTGTGCGCATGCCAAACCTGTACCTGGGTCGAGGCAATTATAAGGACCCAAACCAAACAAACCTCACTGCTATCACAGCCACCCTGTAGAGGAGGGTAGACGTGCCCCTGTGAGTTTGCGAGACGGCTCCTGTTTACAAGAGTAGAAAGCCCTGCATCTCCTGGGGAGCAGCCCATGGGTTTGAACTACAGCCCAGCTCATAACCACTGGGCCACCGGGGCTCTGGATTACATGGACAGAACAAGGGAATTGCACATGGCTTAAAATCAGGAAAGGTTCGTGTCAGGGTTGTAGTCTCTCACCATACTCACTCAATCTACATGCCCCAAGGGCCCGGGGAGAACAAAAATGAGGGCCACATATGCACAGACGTGACTGATACAATTGATGGATGGATGGTTATAAGACAGTGGTTCTCAACCTTCCTCACGCCGCGACCCTTTCACACAGTTCTTCATGTGGTGACCCCCAACCATAACATTATTGTCGTTGCTACTTCATCACGGTCATTTTGCTACTGTGATGAATCATCATGTAAATATCTGATAGGCAGAGTGTATTTTCATTGCTACAAATTGAACATCATTAAAGCATAGTGATAGTCACAAAAACAATATGTAGTTATATGTTGTGAAATATTTATTTCTAATTACAAATAAATGAAATTTTGTCTCAAAGCATGGGGTAGCATGAGTAACAGTCTTAATATAACAACAGTGAGCTACATTGCTACATTTTGCGACAGTATATGTAAAAAGCCAACATCAGTGTAAAGGTTGAGATAACTTCTTTCTCACCAGATCAGCATAGCTGCATGTGGGCAGACCCGCCTGGAGAAAGACAGAGGAGCAGCGTCTCCGTTCCTAAAACCTTCAGAAATATGTTTTCTGATGGTCTTAGGCGGCCCCTGTGAAAGGGTCATTTGACCCCCAAGTTGAGAATTGCTGTTACAAGAGCTGTGAGAGCCCCCAATAAAACGATTTTTAAATTAAAAAAAAAAAATCTATATGCCAAGCAAGTCATCTGAGAAGCTGGATTATATGGGGGGCGGGGCTGGGGGAGTGGCATCAGGATTGGAGAAAGGCTGATGAACGACCTATGATATGCAGTATGCAGATCTTGCTGGCTGAAATCAAGGACTTGAAGCCCTTGCTCATGAAGATTAAGGACTGCAGGCTTCAGTATAGATTATAACTCAGTGTTCAAAGAAAAAAATCCTCACAACTGGACCAGTTGACAACATCATGATAATCAGAGAAAATATTGAAATTCCCAAAGATTTCATTTTGCTCGGCTCCACAGTCAATGTTCATGAGAAGCAGCTGTCAAGGAATCGAAGGTCTCCCCGTACTGGGGGCAAATCAGCTGCTCAAGACCTCTCCTACGTGTCGATGAGCAAGGATGTCACTTTGAAGACTAAGGTGTGCTTGCCCCAAGCCATGGTATTTTCAATCACCTCGTATGCATGTGAGAGTTGGGACAATGGATAAGGAAGACCACATAAGAATCAATGCATTTGAATGATGGTGTTGTTGAAGAATATTAAACGTACTATGCACTGCCCAGAGAACAAGCGAGTCTGATCAGAATGCTCCTTAGAAGTGAGCATGGTGAGATTTCATCTCGGGGACTCTGGACATGTTATCCGAAAGGACCAGTCCCTGGGGAAAGGGACAGCATGCGTGACAGATACAGTGAAGGGTCATCGAAAAAGAAGAAGATCACCAAGGAGACGGATTGACACCGTGGCTGCCACAATGGGCTCAAATATCACAATCTTGAGGATGGCCCAGGACCGGGCAGTGTTTTGTTCTGAATTGGAACAGACTCGGCAGCACCTAGCAACAAACAACAATGTCAGTGTTCAGAGCTGTGCAGACAAATAAAGTGGAAGGAGGGTCCAAGGAGGCAGGATGGAGAGCAGGTAGTGGAGGATTCTGAGCCAGGTCTCAGGTTGGAACGTCAGCTTGACTCTCTGATGTCTCTTCTCCTGCAGAAGGTTCCCAGGCACGAACCTCTGGGGTGGTAGTAACTGGACCAGGAGACACTGGAGAGAAGCCCCAAAGGAGAGAAGAAAGAAGGCCAATAGTTAATTATTCACCATCCTGAAGCTGGCATCTGTCAGTGCCTTCTCATTTTATGCTGACAGCTCCGTATCATAACCGAACAAACTGAGGTTCCTAGAGGCCCTGTGGGGTCACTGCTGTCCCCTCTCTTCAAAAGGACTCAGACTCCGAATCAAACACTTTACGAATTGCCCCTGGGGAGTTGGAGATGACCGGAAGAACTGTGGGGACATGGAAAACCCCTCACCTTCCTGCAGGTGGTTGGTAAAGAATTATAGTCTCAGAAACTCACAGGGGTGGTCCACCCTGTCCTATTGGGTCGCTCTGAGTGTACTGAACCAGGATTGCCGAAGATCTGGGTTTCTGGACAGCAAACCCCGGCGGGTTGGGGCGACGACTTTGCCCTGCCTGCTGATTTCCCGCCTTGCTATCAGCACCCACACCAGGGGGCGCACCGGGGTGGGGAGAGGGTGCAGGCCTCTCTGCGCTGCTTCAGGGCGGGCGCTTGACTGTGTGCCCTTATGTTCCCTTGGCATTCGCGGCTCCTCTAAAAAGAGCTGCCATCGAGTGGCTGCTGACCCATAGCGACCCCCTAGGACAGGGTAGAACTATCCCTGTAAGTTTCTGAGATTATAACTCTTCAAGGGAGTAGAAGGCTCCCTTGGAGCGGCTGGGGGTTTCAAACTGCTGACCTTGCAGTTAGCGTTACCACTAGGCCACCAGGGATCCTGTGGCCCCCAATAGGCTGAGCTTTCACTTGGGGAATCAACGTGTCGAAGACACTGCCTCCTTGCCAGCCAGCTGGGTTAAGCCCTGTTTTTTTAAAAAAAAACAACAACCCCAACTCTTGTCGGATCCCTGTGCGCCCACCACGATGCTGCCCGATCCCTCCAGGCTGTCCCTTCCTGATGCCAGATGTCCAGTTTCCTAGTGGCCTGCTCAGGGAATTCGCTTAAGGCGGTGCTGCAGCCCCTCTAGCTCTTAGGAGAAAGTGACACCCCCCCACGCCCGCTCCCTCCACCCTTCTCTCCATGGGTCCAAAGGTCTAGGCCTCTGAGCCTTTGCACTGACTGTTCCTCCCCGCCGACCCCGGGACCCCCGACCCCACCCCCGCCGGCGGCACCTTTTCCCGCGCTCTCCAGCCTCCTAGGCAGCCCTAGGCGCCCAGCCTGAGCCGCCGCCGTCCCCAGGAGCGTTCCCGGCAGACACCGAACCCCACTGCGCCGGGAGGAGAGATTTCCTCCCATCTCCTTGCGACAGACGGGCAGCCCCCTGCGGGCGGGGGTCTGGCGCTGGCTCCTTTGTCTCGGTGGAGCCTGGGCGGCCGGAACCGTGCCCCCGTCCCCCACTCCAAAGACGCACATCAAAGGCCCCTCGCGGCTGTTGGAGGCTTGGGGGTGGGGTGGCATGGGGGTCCACCCAGGGTCATAGCCTTCTGGGAAGGACGCTCCGGTTCAGGGCGGAGGCCGAGAGGGCCACCTCGCCGCAGGCGCCCACCCTCGCTGTAACTTCCACCCTTTCCCCCTCCAAGTGCAGCCCACCCTCCCGGGGGCCCGGAGTCTCTGTGTGTGAGTCGGGGTGCGGGGCGAGCAGCAGAAAGGAAACCAAGTCTGTACTGAAGGAAGGCACCTGGAGCGGGCGAGGCCCGGCCTCTGGAATCCCCCCCGCCCCAATCTGGGGGCTTTCACGTGGGGGGAAATCCCCTCCGCCGCCTCCGGCCTCCGGCGCGCGGAGCCGGTCTCCATTGGCTCGCACCCCGCCCTCCCCTCCGCGCTCGGGTGCGGGGCGGGCTCGAGAGGCCCGCAAGGCTGCGGAAACCCACCCTCCCGGCCACTTGGGTTCCCTGGCCTTTCTCCCATCTCGCTCCTTCATTCTGGGCCCGACGCGCTCGGCCCGAGTCTCCGGAGGCTCGCGGGCTGCCTGCAGGAGGCATCGGGGCCACGCGAGCCTTCAGGAAGGGGCCTGTCTTGCCCACTGCAACCCAGGGCCGCGGCAGGACTCTGCGTGGCACGCCCGGGGTCCCCTGTACCCCTACCTCTAGAACTGGCACCTGTGGAATCTTGGAGCCTCCCAGTGACCCCAAGACCAACCTCCCCCGGGCCACACTGACCCCACAGTTGTATCTTAGTGGCTAGGGAAAGCAGATCCCCCATTCCAGGGAGATGAACCCCTCAGGGTTGGAGCTTGCCCTGCGCACTCGGCGGAGACCACCAGCTGCGAGGGGCTGGGCTCAGGACTCGCTGCCCCGTCCGGTGTGTGGACCGCCTCGCTGGGGCTCACCCACTGCAACCCCAGGGGAATCAGAAACGGGGCGCCCTGAGTCAGATGGGCTAGGGGCACCTCTTAGAACCCCGTCTCCGCTGCGTTGGCCGGGGCAGGGGGTTGGGGGGGAATGTGGGGTCTCTCGGCAGCTGCTCGGACCTTCCTCGCCCTTTCTCCCTCCGGCTCCTCGGCTCCCTCCCCTTTCTCTTCTTTCTCCTCTCTCTCTCCTTTTTCTCCCCTTCCCTCCTCACTTTCATCTTTCCCCTCTCCGCCCCCTCCAGCCGAGCACCGGGCTAGGAACGCGGCAGAAGCCGTGACAAGCCCGGGCGGCTCTCCCGACCCTTGGTGCCCCCGGGCCAGACCCCGCGCCCGCAGCAGCCCCGATCCGGGAGGGCTCACGGGACCAGCAGGGCAGCGGGTTCGAGCCGTGGGCTCGGGCCGCCCAGATCAAAGGCCGGGACTGTCTGGCCCCCCAGCGTGGGACTTCCTGCAACCGCGCCCCCCACCTGGTCCAGAGCCTGCCTTCCGGGTCTCAGCAGGACGCCGTCGCATGGTTCTCTGCTCCCCGCTTGCCTCAGCCCCCTTACGGGCCATGGGCCCACACCACTCTCGGAGCCCGGGGTGCTGCCTCCGGTGGCTGGGGCGGGGAACTGTGGGGTGACAGGGGCGAGTCACCCCCAGTTGTCCCCGGCTACGGAGAAAGGACCCATGCGGGGTTTTTGAGGGGACCCCGCCATGAGATTAAGTATTTACATGCATTTGGTGTCCGCACAGGGAAAGGGGGCTCTGGCCCCCGCCGCTAGGCTGGAGCCCCCAATCAGCAGAAGGGGCAGGGCTCCACCAGGAGTCGGGCAGTGGAGTCGGGGGAGGCTGGGAGCAACGGGGTTCCTCCAAGCGCCCAGCCGCTCCCTACCCGGCTGGTGCACCTCCGTCGCCCCAAAGTGTCCACCCTCGCGATCCAAAGGGGGCTGCGGCTCGCGCTGCTCACCCGGCCGGAGGCGCGAACAGAAGCCGACGGAGGGGAAAGTGACTGGGCCCAGCGAGCTGTAGATGCAGCTGGCCGCCGGCGTCAGTAGCAGGAAATGCAAAGGCCCCAGGAGGTCCCGATACCGATCTGATCCCTGACAAAAGACTCAAATGACACTCGGCTCTGTCCCCCGGCGTCGCCCGCAGCCAGACCTGCGAGCCTCGGCGGACCCTTCCGCAGGCCTCTGGGCCACCGGGGAAGCGACCTCCTGCGGCCGGTCGAGTGGCCCGCCGACTCGGGGGCCCGGGGGGCTGCAGGCCAGGAGGGGTGCCTTCTCCACCCGCCCCCCTGGGGGGGGTCACTGAGGGCTGCCCTGCGGGAGTGAGACTTCTGGAAATACCCACTGTGCTTTCCACCATCGATTCCTCACGGGCCCAAGTGCCCAAGGGTCACCCCGAGGGAAAAGCGTCGCCCGTGGTGACCGTGCCAACCCGGCACCTCGGAAAACGCCTTGGTCCGAG